GATATAATTTGAAAGAAAAGTGCTATGTAGTAGACACAACTGCTGATGGAAAAAAAACAAGCTGATTTTTCATCTCTGGTATTGACCAAAATAAAAAAAGCAAAGTTTCAGGTATTATTCTGGGTCTGTTCTAACATGTAGTTGTAACTGGGCAACAATTAGGCTTATTGGTTTGCTCTATGCTTTCCTCTATTAAATAAATATATATTTAGCATGTTCTGGAAAATCTCCTAGAGTTCATAATAGTAACAGTGAATGGTCCAATACATGATTGGGGTGCACCAGCTCATACTAGTTGCTGGATCAATGAAAGCACTGGTGCCTGCTTAATGTAAAAATAGCTCCCAGAGGCAGCTGACACTTGAGTAGGCATTTTTGGGATTGTTATGGGATAATATAAACACATTAATATGTTCAGCTGTCTTTCCGTGATCCCCAGCTTCTCTGACGCTGTCACCTAAGACGTCTGCTAGAACCTATACTTTCACCAGTATTGTATGGCAATCTAGAAATGTGGGAAAATTAATGTCCTCTGGGGAAACTCTCAATCAAAAAACCACAAGTCGATAGTTAAATGCTTCTTTCTTTGGCCCTTGGGCAGACAAGTCTGAGACTCCTTTTACGCAGCTCCTCATAAAATCCCAGGGAAATCAAGCACGGTCACCCACAGTGGTGTTCAGCTCCATTTGTTCCTTTGTACTGACTTTCTTTCCTTCCCCACTTATTTTATTCTTGCTATGTCTTCACTCCTGTTTCCTGGAATTATTTCCAAAATAAACTACCTAAACGCAATTTTCATCCAGGTTCTGCTTTTCTGGAGAACCCAGGCTAAGACAATGTCAGATCATGAAAGGAGCAATATATACAGGCTGAAAGACGATGGGGGGTGTTTGTCAGGGGATGGTATTGGCATTTAATATGGCTTTCTCTCCTCTACCAGATCTCTCAGTATTGGAATCCTGGATAGTTTCTCCAGGATTTATCTACTTTTCTTTATCTTCTTTTATTTGTCTATACTTTCTCTTCTTTATCTACACTTCTCCTCATCTACATTTTTTCCTCAGGCAATCTAAAGTTCTATGGTTTTAACCACTACCTCTATTTTGATAACTCCCCAAATTATATCTTTAGTCTTGATCTTGTCTCAGAGCTCCAGCATCATATATCTAATTGTCTACAGATCATCTCCATTTGGATGTCTAACAGGCATCTTTTTCTTCATCTGTCCAAAATAAAACTCATGTTACCTCCCAATAATCCCCTATAAAATAACCTGTTATGCCCCTATTCTTCCTCATGGCACTGCCATCTACCTTACAGTTCAAAGAAATAAAACAAAGAAATTTAAATGTTGTTCTTGGTTCTACCCTTTTCATGCTCTCCCCAGAAAGTTCGGACAATTATATCTCTAGAATAGATTTCCATTTCTCCACTTATTTCTGTCTCCACTGCCATTTACCTTCATCCTTGGCATAATTATCTTTTGTCAGGACTACTACAGTAGCCTTCTAAAATCTATTCTCATTACTACAGGCAGAATAGTTTAAATAAATACATACAACCCCCCTTGCCTGTTTAAAACCTTTCAGTGGCTTCTTAAGGCATCTAGAGATTAACATCGAAAACCTTCCCATGTTCCTAAGGCCCTATAGGATGCAGGTCTTGCTGACATTTGATATGATTTTCTATCTTGCTCACTATTGCCATAGACCTAATTAATGTTTATGTGCCCCTCAAATTCATTCGGTAAAACGTAATCCTCAACGTGATGGTATTTGGAAGTGGGGCTTTGGGGAGGTGATTAGATCATGTGGCAGAAAATTCATGAGTGAGATTAGTGCCCTTATAAAAGAAACTCTGGGATCTAGCTTCCACCACGGGAGAACACAGTGAAACTATTGTCTATGAACCAGGAAACAGGTGCTCACCAGAACCAAGTTTGCTGACACCTTGATCTTGGATTTCCAGCCTCCAGAACTGTTAGAAATATATTTCTGTGGTTTATAACTTACCCAGTCAATGGAATTCCATTATAGTAACTGGAATGGACTGAGATACTTATGCATTGGCCACAGCAGCACCTTTCATTCTTAAAAAAGTCCAGATTCTGTCTTTCCTCAGGGTCTTCCATTTTCTAAAACTTCTGCTTGGATAGTTCTTTTTCCCCATTTTCATATGGCATGCTCCTTATTCTTTACCTCAGCACACATATCTCCTCCTGTGAGTGTTGTTTTCATCTTGATGACCTGTCTAAAATAATACCCTCCATCCTAGTTGCTGTCTGTCACTCCTTATTAGTGTCCTTCATAATTCTTCTCAGAAATTTTGTACTGTGTTCTGAGCCCTTGCTACTTTTTTTCATCTTCTCAACTAGGAGGTAAGCTCTATGAGGGCAGAAGTCTTATCTTTCTTGACAAGCTTTACATTTCTAATACCTTTAATTGGATCTGGCAACTTTGTGTAATATAGTAATGAAAGGCTAATTCTTTTGAGAAATTCCTCTGGATGGTGCATGCAGGAATTATTTCTCACTTATACTAAGGAAAATAGCCTACTAAACTTTGTTTAATTTTTCCTGTCTCAATAATCCATAAATCTTTGTGTCTTTGGAACCCTAATGAGACCAAGAGATGGGAGTAAACCTCATTATTTTGTGACTACATAAAGACATTCTTGTAAGTCTTCATTTCTTATTTCAGATGGTCAGTCTTATTTTCAAGTAGGAAATAAAATTGATGACATCCCTTAGTAATCAAACTTACTGCAATCAATTGCATTTTTTCAATGGCTTTTTATCTAAATAGAGTGATTATGTCTGAGAAGCATGAGGTTTTTATAGGAAAGGATAAGACTTCAATTCCATCCAGTATATATATATATTTTTTTTATAAAAATTACTTGGCTAACTTCTTCTAATACAACCCTACCACACACAGAATAAAATCCTTAGCATGTTTTAACTCTTTCTGTCTTAATTCTTCCCCTCCCCAGCTCTACACAAATCCATTGTCTCAATTCCCTTAAAAGACATATGTATAAAAAATTTCAATACCTTTTAGTTACAGATTCTTCCTTTACTCTAGTTTCAGTTTTCATACCTGTCATATCAGGGTGTGGTGCCCAGCTTTTTAATGAGTCATCACAGGCTGGATTCGTTTGCTTCATTTTTTGTGCTTGGGGCATAGGGCTCTGTCTTCACTTTGGTAACCATATTCTAAAATTTGGTACCAATACCACTAATGCCAAAGTGTAAATTTTGTTTTTTATTTTTATGGTGAAAATAAAGATAAAATAAGCATAGTCCTGTGTTGATTAAATATTAATACCAACAAATTTTTATTTTTTCTGAAAATATTTACAGACATTTATTTCTGCATATCAAAGCTAATGTTAAATTCTCAGCCAATTTGCTTTTTAAAGTAATCTTATATTATGACATCTTGTAGCTTTTTATAAGTTAGGTTTTCCACATACTGAATTTTCCTCAAGAGAGGCACATGTCTATTATTTGTGACTTAGTTTCTTGATATATAATAAGTGTGTTACAGATTTTTTTATCTTTAAATGTAAAACAACTGGGCTATGATACATAGATTTGTTAATATTATACTCTCAGTTTGCCAAAATGACGCAAAATAATTTGATTTTATATATTGCTCTTAATTTTCCTTGTTAATCTCTTATTATTAGATTGACTTTGAGATTTTATAATGGAGAGATTTTCTGTAGTCTAACCTCAGGGAAGACTCATTACCTCTTTTGCAATTACTTGATCAGCATGAGAAATACCTGCTCAGTGATCAATCATTAATGGGCCTTGTCTCAACTGACTTAAAAAGAACCAAGAAAAAGATTTAATGTTTTCGATCAGTTGGGTGCTATCCTTGATTCCTCTGAGTGACTTCTGTCCTCTTTACCTTTTTCTCATATGCTCCATGTTTAATAATCAAATGCTCTTACCATCAGTGCAGAGGGGTCCGGACCTCCCATATGGGCAGAGACAGACAATATCTGTTCCGGATTTTGGAACACAGGTGGCACCGTTTCCACATGGGTTGTTTTCACAACTTGCAAACTGGCACAGCTTGCCTGAGTATAGCCTTGGACACTCACAGAACCAGTTTTCACTGTCACTAAGAAGGGAAAAGCAATGCAAAAAATCCCATCAGTAAACAATTGATATTTTATATATACACACACACATACACACACATGCATGCACATACATATAAATAAAATTATAATTGCATCTTGTCTACTAAATGGAGCTTTTTCTCCCTCCTCTCTCCGTTCCAACTTTTGAGTATTTTTAGCTGTGTACTTTACATTGAAAGTAGATTAACAGCTTTATAGATTGTCTGGAGCCATTAATTCTATTTTAAGCCATCTATTTTTATTTTTGATTTATCTTATCTTTTATTTCACACTGGGTGCCTCTTCAGGGCTTCATTAAATATGTGTGCTGCTGCCTCAGTAAAGTGCATCGAATGTCTATTAGAAAAAACATCTTAGGCTCAAAGCTCAGAGGAGAATTTTAAGCTGGTGATAAGCTCCCTACACTGAGGACAAAGTCCTTCAAGAGCTGCATTTGTGGTAATTCTGAAAATAAGGCACGGTGGGGATCTGTAATGACTACACAACTCTCCAGCTTAAAATATGGTTTGGTGGCCCCAGGCTGTGAGTGCCCTGTGAAAGCAGAGCTCAAGAAAAATACTCCTCTTACCTGACAGGGAAACATTTTCAGGAGGGAGAAGTAACTTGGAATTTGTTATTTCTGCCTTCCCTGCATCCACTTCCCCTTTTTAAAGTAGCAGTAGCCTTTTTTTTTTTTTTTTTCCAGGCCCACCCTTCCACCATTCTCAGACCAAGTTGTCTAGGAGGGACAGGCTCCACTCTTGGTGCCAATCACACTGTGTTAGTACAGGATGGATTCACGGGCACACTAAGTCAACTGGTCGACCTCTGTTAGAGTTCCTAGGAGTGTGCTCTGTTTCTGCTGGGTTTTCTAACCTAGTAGTTACTGGTGGCATCTGCCTATCCAGAGGGAAGAGCCTGGCTGAGAATAAATAACTAATACGTAGCAATGCAAGTATAAGTGACAAGGAGCGATAGATTATTGATGATATAATTTCGGTACCTGATCCAGCCATTACTCTGCAATTATGTGAGCCACTATATTCTAGTCCCTTTTAAATTTTTTTAAGCCAGTGTGATTTGGGATTTTATCACTTGCAATTAAATGAATGCCATTTAATATTAAGATTCTTTTCTTCCTTCTCTCCTTATTACTGTAGTTCGCATATGTTGTCATTAGGTTTTTTTTTCTTCCCCCTGCTTATATCTTTTCAACATGACTGTTAGCTCTTAAGGGTAGGTGCAGGACCAGCCCCTATAATTAGGAAGCTATTATGTTTTGTTTTTATGACTCAGCCTCCCAGTCTAGTTGTAGATCTTGCCCATACCATGAAAGTTTCCCCTTGCTATTCTCATCTGTGTGTTCTCTCAATATCTTCCTTACATATTTGAATCCTCTTACTCCAAAATAAATTTGCTTGCAGGAAAGGACCATTTTTTTCATAATAATGAGTACATGTCTTTGAAATGTGAAGGGGTTTCCTTTTCTACTAATAAGAATGTCCATATTTTTATATAAATTCTCCATGTTAGTAGAATAAGCATTATGGAGAAAGTTTATGTATCAGATAGCAGGTAAAGCTGGCTTTGGTGGGACGTAAAGCTTTGAGGCCTTCAGATTTCACCAACACATAAGTGGTCAGTAACTTACTCATAACCTTTATGGCAACTTGTATCGAATTTTATGCATTATAGACAGATATAGAATCTCATAAGTTTTCAAAGTTGGGGAAAAATTATAGATCAATGCCACTAAAATGGTTATAAAATACCCTAGACAAAACTTTTCTGTTTCTGGACAATAAAACAAAGTTTTGAGCCAATGCTTTTCCTCGTTGCCTGAGAATAGTAGTAAAAGCATAGCCAGGCCAGCTGGTGGGCACAGAGATATCTTCCGGTGTGACTTAAAGTACTTGTTAGAAACTGTTGTTTGGGGTCATGGATAAATCTAATGTAAGTTTGCTTCTACTCACCTAACTTGGAGTTGAAAGGTTAGTATTAAGCATCTATATTCTGGGATAAAGTTTTGGAGTATAGCACTGTTGAGAGATGTACTCTAGAAGGACCAAATTAGTCTTTTTCAGATAAAGGAGAATGCCACACATGTGAAAGTTAAACTAATCTAAATATTGATTGATTTAAGTGCTTTAATCATATAGACCCAAACAAATTTGAAATGCGGGAAAGATGCTCTTGTGTTAAAAACCAAGGAAAGCACCATTTTTAATCATGTCCTATTGGTAAGTCAAGCCTCATCTCCTCTTTTTGCTTTCATCAGATGTTGTGAGAAGTTGGTTGTGTAAATTAACATGGTGATGACTAACTGAGTGCATATGTATATCAACAGGTAGCTAGATTGGGAGGGGTGGGGAGAGAGAGAGAAATTTTACAGAAAACTCTCCAAGAAAGGGGAAAATCACCTTATCTGGCTAAACAAGGGCAAGTGTACAGAGCACTCTTGCCCATCTGCATATCTCATTAGTACTTCATTAGAAAGTCAGCTTTAGCCAACTGAGATTTTCCCAGATGATATCTCTATATACTTCACTTCAAATTGTATCTTGAAATGGCAACAAACTTCCTGAAGTGCCAGATATTTTACCAATAATTATTTTTAAAAAAAAATCTACATTATTGTGTTACACCTGGACCTAAGGGCTTCTCCTACTCAGATTTTCCAAAGATCCTCATTATTAAATCACATATTTTTCAAAAGCTACCAAGTTTGCTGTTTTCTCTGTCACTTAACCCACTTTGATGTCTCTCCACATTCTGTGGCAAAAGGCAATGTTGACCAAGAAAGGGAGTATCCTGATATTGATGGACCTTAAGTAAGAGAATTGACTCTTGGAAACAGTGGCTGAAACAATGTCACCCTCCTTTGCTCAGTTTACCTAAATGTTGCAACATTGCTATGTATTTATTTGGCACTGCTTGATGTAATTAGCTATGAGAGAATATATTCACAGGAAACATTTTTCTCATTTGAAAGAGTTTTAAAAATTTAATCCTTCACAAAACCTGCAAACCGTATTGAAAACTGTTTTGCAAAACTCCCTTTAAGGAGGTCAGAATATTTTTCTGAATTAAAAGTAGGTCTGTTTCTACATCTTTGCAATTGTGAATTGTGCTGCTATAAACATTTGAGTACAGGTGTCTTTTTTATAGAATGTCTTTTTTTCCTTTGGGTAAATAACCAGTAGTAGGATTGTTGGATCAAATGGTAGTTCTATTAAATATTTTTAGTTCTTGGAGGTATCTCCATACTGCTTTTCATAGAGGTTGTACTAGTTTGCAGTCCCACCAGCAGTGTATAAGTGTTCCTATCTTTTTGCATCCCCTCCAACATTTGTTGTTTTGGGACTTTTTGCTATAAGCCATTCTCACCTGAGTTAAGTGATATCTCATCGTGGTTTTGATTTGCATTTCCCTGATGATTAGAGATGTTGAGCATTTTTTCTTATATTTATGGGCCATTAGTCTATCTTCTTTTGAAAAGATTCTGTTCATGTCTTTTGCCCACTTTTTAATGGTGTTGTTTGATTTTTTTCTTGCTGATTTGCTTGAGTTCTTTATAAATTCTAGTTATCAGCCCTTTATTGGATGTATAGCATGCAAATATTTTCTCTCATTCTGTAGGGGTTGTCTATTCACTCTAATGATTGTTTCCTTGGCTGTGCAGAAGCTTTTTAATTTGATCAGGTCCTCTTTATTTATTTTTATTGTTGCTGTGATGGTTTTTGGGAACTTCTTCATAAATTCTTTGCCTGGGCTGATGTCTATGAGAGTTTTCCTAACATTTTCTTCTAGAATCTTATGGTTTTATGCATGAAGTTTAAGTCTGTCATCCACCATGAGTTGATTTTTGTGAAAGGTGAGAGGTATGGATCCTGTTTCAGTCTTCTACATGTGGCTATCCAATTTTCCCAGCACCATTTATTGAATAGGATTTCTTTTCCCCAGTGTGTGGTTTTGTGTGCTTTGTCACCATCAATACATGAGTGGATTAATAAAATGTGGCATATGTATACCATGGAGTACTACTCAGCCATAAAAAGTGGTAAATTAATGCCTCTTGTATTATCCTGGATGGAGCTGGAGACCATTCTTCTAAGTAAAGTATCAGAAAAATGGGAAAACAAACACCACATCTACTCACCATTAAATTGGAACTAATTGATCAACACTTATGTGTAAATGTGGAAATAACATTCATTGGAAATCAAGCAGGTGGGAGGGGAGAGGAGGCGATGGGTAAATTTACACCTAATACGTACAATGCACACTACAGGGGGATGGGCACACTTATAACTTCAAGTCAAATGGTAAAAAAGCAATTTACATAACCAAAACGTTTGTACACCTGTAACGTTCTGAAATTAAAAAAAAAAAATAGATCTGGGAAAGAATCCAGATGTTGGCAAAGTTTTTACATGTACACCAGAACACCATATTTTTTGGCCAATTGCTGTCAACCAATATTTACTGTGCACCTAAGTCACAGACAGAGCCATGTGCGACGGGGTGAATAAGACTCACTTCTGTACTCTTTGGAGGAGACAACAGAAATGCCTAAGCAAATCTCTGTAAGACACAACATATGCGACAGAGAAATATAGACAGTTGCAAGGATATTAAGGCCTTAGCTCTGTAATATGTGGATTTAGATGACAGTAGTTTCTAAAAGCTGGTCTATTGAACTGGCACACAGGATATTGTTTACCAGAGAACTTCCTGTGTGCCTTTTATAAATGCAGATTCCCATGATCCCCTTCCCCCCTGAGATTCTGATTTAAAAGTTCTGGGGTGAGTCTCCAGATTTTACATTTTAAAAATGTCAGCAAGAGACCCTTTTGCATAGCCTACTTTGAGTTTAAGCCAATCTCCCAGAGACAAATATTCTCTCCACAGTAAATGTTTGTGGGCATTAGTTACAATGCTTTGGCATCTTTAGCAGGATGCCAGAGCATTATAATTTTCTTATCTTTTTGGGCTAAAT